AAGATAAATGAATTAGAGAGTGTAGAATGTTTGGAGCCCAAATGGAAGTATTACAACAATGATACACAATTATTTTTGATTATTTCTGTTTTTCTTCTGACTTTATTGCAACTTGCTAAAAGACTGAATTTTGATATTAAGCCCAAGATAATGAAGATTTGAAGATAATTTTCAAACTTGAATTTGGCCAGGTCACCATGCTTTGGAACAGTTTCAAAGAGGAAGATAATTGGGATTTTTAATGAGCTTTGAAATTTACCTGAAAGGGGGGATAAAAAAAACTACAAAAGAATTGGTGTTAAGCAGTGTAAATTAATTTTAGGCAGCCTGTTCTGGGTAGTAATATCATTATTTTCTACTGTGATTAGCCAGAAAATAATCTTTTCTCTATTACCTTTTTTTCTAGTCTCCTCTGGAAAATAAATATTCCAAGGTCACTTGTTACCTAATCATAATGTTCATGAAAATTGACAGGTATTCTCAAGTTTGATTACAGTAAATAGGACAAATAAATCATTTCAATGCCAGAAAGAGGTCAACCACTCTGGTTTTCTTCCCAACGTACTAGCTAGATTTTATAATATAAGCGTTCAGAATTAGATTATGACATTACTTTTTTTCAACCAATTTCAAAAGCAACATGGTTTAATTATCTAGAAATGGAGCCCTCCTGCCATATTCTTTAACGGCAGCCATGGCTGAATTTTGTGGAAATATTACATTGCATTTTATAGAATATGGCTTCTGCTCAGTTGGTTCAATCCCCAGCACCAAAACAAACAAAAAACCCAAAAGAATATGGCTTCTACCAATTAATGCAACCCTAATACCATTTCCAGCTATGGGAATGGTATCAAGCTAAGTAAAGAGACACTTTAGAAATGAAACTCACTGAATAAATCCTAATTTGGAAAATTAGACAAATGACAAATGAAAGAAAAATGCTAATGGCAGAAAGGCAAATAGTTTTTCTCTAATGTCTCCTGATAATGTTTTAGAGCTGAGATTATGTATGGGCAGCTAAAGCTGAAAGAGGAGTAATAAAAATATCTTCAATCCCGCTAGAATGTCATGTTCTACATTATTTTTTCCCATTCTTGGGAGACAAACCAAAAATTACACTGAAACCTAACTGCTACAAAGGAAAATACAACACTGCTATATGATATATGTAGAAAGCGTACAATCAGGTTCACTCCAAGCTACCTTTTCCTCATCCATCCACAGTAATTCCAGGGGGAACCTTTTTTTATTGGGTGATGGGGGAAGACTGTGCCTTCAAACCTTAGCACCAATTTCCTGACTGCTGAGTAGCATTAGTCACGCATCCTCCTCATGCCCATAAATGGAGGACAAGCCTACACTGATGCTATCAGATGAATTTAAACAAGGCTTATTCCAAGAGAACCCTCAGAGCTAGACTGACAACACTCCTGCAGCAAACCCATCTTCAACAGAAGCATGTTTTGTTTCATTTTCCGTCTGAGTGCACACTGCTAACAGACGTGTAGACCAATTTGCGATGGCGGTATTCACTGAGGGCTTGGAGCAGGCCTCCTACTGTGATACTAGGCTGGGGTGAAAAGTTTGTAATAGGGAAAGTTGAGATCCATATTCTTGGTGTTAAGAAAGTTGCTACTGGGGGAGGTTCAGTGGCACAGTGCTAGTTGAGCATACGTAAGTCCCTCATTTTGATCCCCAGAGCTCCCTCCCATAAAAAAGAATATTGACATACTTATTATGAACATTTTTATATTTATTTTATATTAGAGAAGTCATTATTTCACATAATCATTTATTTATTTATTCACTTCTCTAATGTTGGGGCACCTATGAGATTGGCCAGGTACTGGGCTTTAGGCCAGGCAAGCTTTATGAGAAGAGTTCAAATGTTTTTCACCATTCAGCCAAGCCAACTTTAATTTTTAAGCAAAGTTTATAAGAAGATAATTGCCTTTAATTTTTATTGTCTTAATGTACTCTTTTTCACATTTTTAAAGTGGTGCATTACAGTTGTACATACTCAAAAGAATTTGTTGTTACCTATTTGTACATGTACACTATAGTCCCAGGACTTTCCCCCTCCCTCCCCACTTCCTACCCTTCTTAAGGCACTCTTACTTATACTATAGGAAGGTGGTATGAACATGGTAGAAGGACCAGTTGATCAAGGACTGGAAATCCTGGGTTTAAGTTCCAGTTTTATCACCAAAGAACTGCAAGACTCTGAGCAAGTTAGTTAACCTCTCTGGGTCTCACATTCCTCTTTCTAAAAATGAGTGGGTTGGACTTAAGATTCCTTCCATCTCTAAAATTCTTTTGTTCTATATAGTAACACATTCCACAAAGTTTCCTTTGTGACCAGAATTAGTCTGTGATTTCCTAACTCAAGCTTCCCTTTTGCCCTCTTTGAATGTTAAACCAAATATGAACAAGAAGCAATAACATTTTGTCACAGCCAACAAATTGCCCTTCCACAGAATGACCTTTGGAGGTCAGGCCACCCATTGCAATATCTAAATCCAAAGGCAATGGTATGACCAACTTGTAAGCTGGCAGGCTGCCATTCAAAAGGATGGAAATGGTTGTAGGCAGCCAAAATTCTTGGCTGGTACATTTTTAATAAACATAGAAAATAAGAACAGCATTTTCGACTTGGATTGCTTAATTTGGTGCCCATACCATTGGCACATTTGTTGTTAGAATAAAGATGATGTGATATATAACTTATTTAGCTCAGGATGGATTAACTTTCACAAACGAGAAGTAGGTTATGGAGTCATCTGTAAGGAATTTTTATCCTTGTTTCTTGTATCTGGCAGGAGATAGCTTGAGTCATTACAGCAATCTCTCCACCCCTTTTGGCCCTTTGTAAGTTTTCCCTGAAACACAAGCTCTGTTGGATTTACTGTATTGCTATGAACATACAAAAGAAAACTGATGTGACTTTGTGTTTGAATATGTCTTATTAATATTCTCCCAAGATGGTTCAATATGTCTTAATACTTTTTCCAAGAAAAGTCTCCAAGAAAATGTTCCTTAACTTGGAGAATACTTGAGGTGCAAGCACTGTAAACTATAATAAGTAAACATATTGACAGTGCACCTAATAGTAGCTATGGTTTTTAATCATGCCTATTGTACTAACTCATTCAGTTGCTTGAGCCCTACATTTTGTCTCTACTGGTAATATGGCAACAAAGATATTTGACTGGTAAGTCTGTTTTTTCCCCAGTGCTTGGAGATCCTTGAATAAAATGCTCTGTGGTGGTAGGCTGTAATTAGATATGTGGGTGGAAATTAGTGTTCTTCAAGTACACTATGTTTAAGGCAGAGGCACCGTGCTTTTTATTACCTGAGGCCACCCTGGTCCTGTGCCATCGCTCCAGGTCACTGCTTCTGCAGGGCGGTTGGTCTGCGGCTGCAAGTTCCAAAAAGAAAATAACTCGGTATTGAGCTCTAGATCTAGGAAGCTTTTTATAGTTAAAACTGGGTTACACCGTCCTTTTACAGACAAGTCAGGCATTGACCAACGATGACTATAACTTGTTGACTTTTCATTTGGAAATGTACATTATTCCAACTTTCATGACTATCTTTTGAATTGTACTCGGCTCTTAAAAACACTAAAACTTTTGAATGGATTCCTGGAGTCAAGGTAGGTCCTCCATTTTGGATTAGTGCCTTCAGTAAGTAGAAACCCTGTAGCAGCAAATCTTTTCCATTCTAGTCATCTTTTATATAGAATATACATTTCTCTACTTGAAATACAAAACGGCTGCAATTTGTCCTGTTTAAACTTTCACTAGATTATAGGAGTTGTTTTGGATACTGAAAAAACAAAACAAAACAAAAAAAAACCCCACAACTATAAATTCTGGCTTCCTAGACCCCCCTACCGCCACTTGACTTGAAACGTTTGCCTTGCCTGTATTTTTATATATGCCTTTCAAGGGAGATGAAGACTAGGTGAATGATAGAACATTCAAATTATCATTAGTTCCCATCCCTCCCCGCCCCCAGTCCGGGATTCCCTTTTCGCTGGTGACGATAGAGGTTATACCCGCTGCGTTTCTTTTCTACTCCTGCGGCTGCACACGGTTCCGCGCGTCTCCCCGCGACTGCGTTTTCCCGCGAGTTGACTGCGTTCATTTGGGGGGATGAAGTCATCCCTATACATAGTGTGCGTATCAGCTCATTAAATTGGTACAGCACGCTGGGATTCCTCGGGAAGAAAAGGAATGGAGCGAACAATGATGACCATATTTTACATTTATATGGTTTCCCCCCTCCAACGCCCCCAAATCCCGGAGGAATCGCTGGGAGCAGCAGCGCGGCGGGGGGCGGGCAGTGGGTCTGACCGGGATGCCCACCCACTCGCTTGTCCCGGTCCTCAGCAAGCAACAGGGCGAGCTGAGGACAAGCCCTGCACGGGGGCTCTCTGCCGCTAGCAGCCCCGGAGCCCCGCGGCTGGGCTGGGTGCCCAGTCACGCATCTCGGCTCCTCAAGCCGGTGCCCGCGGGTCCGGCACCCGGGAGGTCTCGGCGTCTTAGTCGGCTCATCCCGGCCGCGGAGGAGGCCCGGGAGCTCTCCGAGCCTTAGCGGAGCAGGAGGCGACGGGGAGGGGGGCCGACGGCCAAGGACAACCACGAGCTAGGAACCCCCGCCGACAGCGGCTGGGGGAGCAGCACGGATCACAGGGGGCTCGGGGGGGCGGGGCGGGGAAGCAACAAAGAGCCTTTCCTCAGCTGCCGTCGCCGAGCCCGCGCCCGCCCCTCCCCGCTCTCCGCAGTCCGGCGGGGGCCCGGCCGGCAGCGCGGGGGTGCGCCCGGCCCCCGCCTCCCCTCCCCCCCGCGCCGCCCCCTCGCCCCCGGGGGAGGGAGGGGAGGAGGGCGGCGCCTGCGTGTTCCTCCGCCGCGCGCCCCGCCTCCTCCCGGGCTCCTCGCGGCGATCCCGACTCTCCTCCCGCGACTGCAGCAGCTGCGGGTTGCACACGGCCTCGGCGGCGACGGCGGGCGCGGCGAGCGCGGGCCTGTGAAGCGGCGGCCGGGCGCGCGGCCCCGGCGGGCACCTCTCAGAGGGCGGCCGAGGAAGCTCCGGGAGGAGGAGGAGAAACCGGAGGAGGCGGTGGGAGGCGGCGGCTGCCGGGGGACCCGCTCCGCGCCTCGGCCTCTCCGCCCCCTCCCCAGTCTTTCTCTTGCTCTCTTCTCTTACACTCCGGGCCGGCGCCTCGGCTTTGTGCGAGGAGATGGTGTAGCCCTCTGGCCGCCGAAGCAGGAGCCGGACACTGTCTCCCGTCTCCGAGCTGCGTCCCCGCCCCTGGAGGAGAGACCCTCTTGGCTCGGCGTCCCCCGGCTGCTGGGGAAGCCTCCGCGCCGCCGGCACCATGAGGTGAGGGGCGCGCGGGGCGGGGGCCGGGCAGGCCATTGTGCCGCGGGAGCCGCGACCCCGCTTTCCACGGACCCCGCCTTCCCTCTCCCGGCCCGGCGCGTCTCCGCGGGTCTCCGGTCTCTTCCTCCCCCCTCTCCCTTTTGTCCCTTCTAATTTCTCTTTCTCGTAAACGACCCCAATCTCTCTGATTTGGGGGGTTCTCCCGTTTTTCCCTCAAATGCTCTTTTTTCACCTAGGATTTCCCTTATTAATTTTAATTTGAGCCTGGCTCCCTCCCCCCCCCCCCCAGCCTTTGCAAGCAAAACCCGGGAGATGGGGAGGGGTTCGAGAATCGAAGCGTGCTTGTTGCTGGGAAACAGGTATTCTTCCGTATATGTGTAAAAATTTCGTGCACTTTTAGTACAAAAGTCTCTCGTTTAATTAAAAAAGAAAAGTTTGAAGGGTCTGAAATCTCTGCGGGTAATAAAGCGCCTCTGGTAGGGGTAGGTGAAGGAGCTACTGAAAGGTGAAATTTTACGAAGGTGGGGGAAGGGAAAGAATTTATTAGGTTTACACTGGGGAGGGCAGTAAAAGGCTAGGGTAAGTAAGTTGTTTGGGGTGTGTAAGCCGGGGCGGGGGAGGGTTTTGTTTGGAAAACCCTTTTCTCCCCTTCTTCTGTGGCAGGCTGTGTTGCATTGCAGCAGCTGCTTTCCCCTCTTCTATGTAATCAATAAAACAGAAGCTAAATTATTTTTTCAGCCTCAAAGGAAAGAATTGAATGTACCATCGTATATTATTTTTTGATTGATACGGTGAAACATATGGTATGATATTTTTCTTTTTTATTTCTCCAATTGTGTAGGAGAATAAGCCATGATGTGGTATGTCATTCATTGGAGATTTTTCTCAGTCTTTCCTAAGCCTATTTTGTGTCCATAACCACCTCTCTTCGGATTGGTGCAAGACTTCGTGAGAAATGGGACTTGGTAGACTGAAGCTGATCCATTCTGCGTTATCATCTTTAAAGGCCTTCCTTTTAGTTAAACAATCGTGGATAAAGTAAAATACTCTATTTTTCTCTCCTGGAAGAGATAGTCTTACAGTTCATTTGGATTTGAATCTCCTTTGTGTTAAAGATTAATGGCCAACCGTTGCCAAGACCTTTATAATGTAATACAATGAGTTTTGAATGATATAATTTACAAATTCCGTTGCTTTAGCAAAAAAGTTCTGTCACTGAAATTCTTTATCAATTTAAGTAGTTTCCATTTTAAACTTTAGCTTTCTTTCTTTTTTTTTTAACCTATCAGAGTTGAACACATTCCAACTATTTTTAATATTTATTTTTGATGACATAGTTGTTTTCACTTAAACTTATTATGAATTTGAATTATTATTTTTTCTGATACCAACTTACAGCCCTTGATATATGATAGCTTTAAAAATTTTGTTTAATCCTAGGCGACTGACCCCTTTTACTTGTGATTTCATGCAAGTTATTTTCAAATGTAATGGGTCAGTTTTAAAAATAATTATGGTATACAAACCAGAAACCATTAATCTGGTAAAATATGGCATCAAAACTTGAGTGGTGGTTTTTGTGATTTTTTTTTTTTTATCAGGTTACTCTTGTCCTTGAAAACTCAGGAACTCTAATACTATACACACACACACACACACACACACACACACACACACACATATATAAATGTTTTTATGTTTGTGTTTTTTTTTTTTTTTTTAATCAGGTTACTCTTGTCCTTGAAAACTCGGGAACTCTAATACAATATATATATATATATATAATGTTGTGTTGTGTAATACTACATATTGATGATTTCTGCTTTAGATTTACTGCTATAGGTTTTTTTTTTTTTTTTTTTTTTCCAGTATTGGGGATTGAACTCTAAACCACTGAGCCACATCCCCAGCTCTATTTTGTATTTTATTTAAAGAGGACATCTCACTAAGTTGCTTAGTGCCTTGCTGTTGCTGAGGCTGGCTTAGAATACCGGATCCTCCTGTCTCAGCCTCCTGAGCCTCTGGCTGGTGGGCCACTGCGCCTGGCTGCTATAGGGTCTCAGAGACCAGAAGTTAATGGTCTTTTCAACTTTGGCTATATTTGTCTTAGTTTGTTAACAAACTTTGTTAACAAAGTGTGCTATTTTAAAATAAAAACAATCGAAGTTATCTAATCCAAAGATGATGAACCAAAAAGAAAAAAAGAAAGATGTTTAGGGGCTCTTTAAAGTTTAATCAGAATAGTGTAGATGTCTGTGTCAGTTAAATTGTCTTCACTTAAAAGTTCCCTGTTTGATAAAGTATAACTTTTATTTTTAAGCTCTTCTTGTTTTATTATATGGGAATCACTGCTGTTTTTCCAGGACCATAAATATAGAATGTGGTATCGAGGTCTGAAATATTTCTTTAGGCAGTCTACAGTAATTCTTTGTAGACTAATTTTGAATAATTTAAAGAGTAGAAAAGAGGATCAGATTTACACTTTGGAAACCATTGGATTGTTTGGTAGGTGGTTTGTAAAACTCCATTGTTGCAGTTAGATGTGTACAAAAGTAGAACATTCTAATATGAGGGAAAAGATTCTTGTGCTGGTAACAAAAATCTTTGGGATATTTTATGGTTAAGAAAGGACTTTTTAGCTGTGAGTCACTACCTGTAGTCATCAGCTACTTTGGAGGTTGAGGCAGAAGGATCACAAAGTCAAGGCCAGCCTGGGCAGCTTAGTGGGACCCTGTCTCAAAAATAAAAAATGAAAAAAAAACAAAGGACTGGAAATGTAGCTCAGTTGTAGAGCCCTTGCCTCATATGTGCCAGCCCCTCTGTTCAATCCCCAGTTGCTTTCAAGTACTGTCCTATAAAAGTTAGCTTTTTAAAATAGAGTCTTTTAAAGTTACATGACGGATAGTTCTCATGCCTCAGAAGCCATCCAGAAACAGGAATGCCTGAGCAGGAATTTCCAATTAAGTTGGTCAGAATTCTGAAAAGAGGAAATGATTAATATGTTGTGGCATAAGTAGCTGTGATAAGATCTCTCAAATGACTTTAATTTTAGGAATAGTGTATTAACTGTGATGTAATCTTAAAGAAAAGGGAATTGAAAAATACTTTATATTCCTAAAGTAGTCAGAAGGCAATTCTACACATATAAAATGCTGTATAGAGATTTACCTACTAATATGTTGCTTTTAAGATTGGCATTAAAGAAATGAAAAAGTATATTATGCAGGACAGTGGAGGAGTTGAGGCCAAAAAACTTAATACTTTTAGTATCCCATCCAAGCTTTTGATTCTATTCCATTTTTCATTTATGTAATCCTTCAAAAGTATACGGTGCTTTCTGATTGAGGGGTGTGTGTGTGAATGAATGTATATATGTATACAAAATACAGCATATGTCTTATTAAATGATTGAATTTAAAAATCGATTAATTATTCCAAATTTAATTATTATTGTATTATTTTAATGAAAAGAGGAGCTTGTCTGATCTAAAGTAGTTGTCTGTAGTCCAGTGGCTTAGAAGAGGGCAGAAGATTTTGGATTGACATTTTTGTGTCATTTTAAATACCAACAGCTTCCACTAGCTACTCCAAGTTTCTCACATAAAAAGGTGTAATGGGGGGCTGGGTTGTGGCTCAGCAGTAGAGTGATCGCCTAGCTCTTTCGAGGCCCTGCGTTCTATCCTCAGCACCACATAAAAATCAATAAACAATATAAAGATATTGTGTCCATCTACAACTAAAAATTGTTAAAAAAAAAAAAAAAAAGAAGTTGTAATGGGGTTGCAAAGGAGTTGATCAAGCCACTTATCTAGATGCGTGACCTTGAATTAACCACCTTATTTCACTGATACATTTAAAAAATAAGTAAAAATACAGATAATTTTTTACTGGGTATGAAGATCAAATGATAATAGATGGTACTTTGTATGCTATTAGCATTATACAGTTACATCACTCATATTATTTTGAGGCCTACTTTTGTTTTAGATTAGTTGGGTAAAACTTTTGGGTAGTTTGCTTTATATCTGGACCTTATTTAATTCAAAGATGTTAAATAGATTACATTCTGCTTACTTATTCCAATTGGTAATGCTACCATTTTGATAAAGACATTGATGCACTTCTGCGCTTGATGGGAAAGAGTGCCGTGGTTCATTAGTAATGTATGTTTAAGACATGGATTCCAGAGAATGGCACTGAAGAGTGGTTCCTGGAATGTCACTTAATTCCTAGTCATCTGTGATCTAGTCCAACTTTATTTTAGAGGTGAGGGAAACCATTTTTTAAAATTTCCTTCCTGTGTGTATGTTTAGAGACCTTGAAAAACTAATTGTGATTTTTGTTGCCTTCATTTATGGTAATGATTGATAATATATTTTAGAGCTGGGTACACTTAAAGGTTGGAAAGATCAGGTTAGATATATCAACTTGTTATTCAACCAAATTGGTTAAAGAAAAAAAGGTTAAAAAAAGATAAATCTTTTTATTTCATAGAATTGTTAATTGTGTTAAGTGAGATATCCATGAAAAGATGCAAATAGTAATCTTTTTCCCCGTGGGTCTTCATTTATACTTGTAGCTGTTGGATGTGTGACTCTCCCACAAAGATTTATTTTTGGAGCAGGAGTTAAATCTTCAATTTTTTGAATGTCAGTATTGTATTATAGGTATTTATTAAGTGAGTAAGTCTTGAATAGGAGTGTGGAGAAGTAGAGAAATTTTACTGGACTTGGTTTTCAACCTTTTGTATGTCTTGTTAGCCCAGTTGGAATAAGTAAAATAACTAGGCAGGCACCATTTGGTTGGTACAGAAAAAACTCCTTACTGGATTGATGGTTTTGATAATTTATCCTACACACAGCTTAAAAGAGGTGTGATTGTGTAACTTGTAATAAACCCAGTTTTTATCATGAATGTAATAAGAAAGAATTGGAAAAATTTGATGTCAAATTTCATACATGGGGGGGGGGGGTAGTAAAAGGGTATTTAAACCCTTCCTG